TGTGTGTATGGATTGGGATAACAGTTGTATGAGCCCCTAATAAAATGTTAAAAAAAAAATATGGCAACCCCTATCCATTTCTAGGTTTTTATTTTTCTTATTTGGGTTTTTGGGGTGTGGGGGGGCGGTGTCTACTAAAATATGTGCACATGCCAGAAGAATTATGAAGGCCTGAAGGAGAAAGATGAGGTTTTCCACTCGCTTAAAGATGTATAGTTTCAGAAATCCACAGGGGATTTCTGCCCCGTCTTATAGGGTCACTATGAGTCCTAATCAGTGGCAGTGAGTTTGGGTTCATTTTGTGTGGTGTGTGTGTATGTTGCTGTAGGTTATTCATTAGGCTGCTAACCTCAAGGTTTGTGGTTCAAGCCTACCAGCAGCTCTGTGGAAGAAAAATAATGAGACCTATGAGTCTAAGACCCAAATCCACTGCCATCGAGTTGATTCAGACCCTTGTGACCAGCTGCTCTATAGTATAGAGGGTTTCTGAGGGTCACCAGCCCTCTGTAGTATAGATGGTTTCTAAGGCTACAAATCACTAAGGGAACAGATAGCCTCATCTCTTTCCTGCAGTTAATAATCCAGTGCTTACCAGACCGCACCCTATGTAGGTGATATAAAATAATGTATAATGGTAAAGTCCTTGTTCTCAAAAAAGCTTTAAAATGATATTGGTATTATAAGAAATAAAGATCCTTGGTGACACTATAGGCTAAGCTTTGGGCAGCTAACTGCAAAGTCTGAGGTTCAAACTCACCAACCACCCTATAGCTAGTCTAATTTCTGCATACCCCCAGCATCATGGGGGAGTTGCTGGGTGGTGCACATAGTTTTAAAACCACTGCTAACTGAAAGGATGGAAGACTGAGTCTACCAGAGGCAACTCAGAAGAAAGGCTTGGTTATCTACTCCTTGAAAAGTCAACCCCACTCTCTGGGGCACAATTACATTCTTCCACCCCAGGTGAAAACGGATTCATGGGAAACGGATTTTTTGTTTTGTTTTATTTCACCATCTTCAGCGTGAATGCACTAACGATACAACTCTGTAGTTCTCTCATGACTTCATTTCATCTCAAATTTTATCAGACACCTAGTTCAGAGGTTACTTCCACCGCAAAGACCCTTTTAGATGTCTTTTTCCATCTCCCACAGAGCCTTGAGAGGGTTACGGGGGTGGGGGGGGTGGACACTTGTCACAGCGCATCTATCTCACTGTGTTTGCCTACCTCCCTTCCAGGGAATACACTTCTGGGGGATCTGAACTGTATCTTTTTTTTTTTTGCTAAGTTCCTCCACTGCCAATGAAACGGTCTGACAGATAGTAGGCATTCCACAAACCTTTGTGAGAATGGGTGAATCAAGAGGTATTCTCTCCACGTATCTTCTAGATAGCCCGATGATTTCCGTTCCCATTGCTCCCATCCCTCCTACATGGATCCTAGCTAACCCTTTTCAATTAACCTACAACCCCCACCTGTCTTCCACAATCAGTCAAGGCTACACATTTTTTCTCTTTATTTGACTTTCCTGACTTGAAATCAGAAATCAGATGATGTGTGAATTCCAGGTCCAGGTGCTGTTGGGTGGGTGACAGGACTCAACTGTCAGATTGTTCCAGGGATCTCCTAAGCGAATGCATGTGCAGTGCTCAGGACAATACCTGCCGAATGGGTAGCACTCAATGGCTATTGTTGTCAAGAAAAAGAAAGAACTGTGAATTAGCACACAGACAACGAATGTAGCAAAAAGAGGACCAAATCAGGAGCTGGGAGAGTCTGGAGGAACCACAGCCCTTCAGTGATCGATCAAGTTATCTTGGATAATGGACTCCACCGTTTACCATACAAAGGAGCCCCGGTGGTGTAGTGGTAATGAGTTGGGCTGATCTGTGAAGTGAGCAGTTCAATACTACCAAGCTCTCTTTGAGAGAAAGATTGGGCTGTCAACTACTGCAAAGAATGACAGTCTCAGAAACCTACAGGAGCAGTTCTACCCTGTCCTACAGGGCTGCCATGACTCAGCATCTCCTGATGGTACTGAGTTTAGTTTTCTTTTTTTTACAATACATTCCCAGATGTAATCATTTTAAGTGGATGCTTTTGAGGGGTCTGAAAGATGATAAAGGGGGTTGGGTCTAAATTTTCTTTCCTTTTTAAAAAATTTTCTTATCTGTCAAACCACAGATTGAATTTGATTGTCCTTAAGGGTCATGAAAACAAAAATCTTGTCATTCTGGGCTTTAATCCAATTTGAAAATAAAAAATGAAGCTCTATAGCTAAATAGTAAAGAATTGACCCTGAAGTCAGGGACCTAGATTCAAATACCAGCTCTAACATTTATTGGCTGAGGGATTCTAGATTAATTATTTCTTCAACCTTGGCTTTTTAATTAATGAAAAAGAGAAAACTACCAGCCCAGCAGAATTATTATGATAATAAGGATTTAACAAAAATCAACCTCACTAGTGAACCAAGAAATGCAAATGCCTGCGATCATCAATTTCATTCAACTCATGCCAATACCCTGTGTTGATGGCTAGAACAACTCCATGGGGTTAGCTTAGTTGTAATCTTTAGGGAAACATCACCAGACATTCTGTCTCAGTGCCTCTGAGTCAAGTCAAGCAATAGTAAAATGACCTTCTGTCTAAGGAAACAGAGATATAATAATGGCAAAGCAAAGTCCCATAGTTAAAGACATTGTTAGATTTACATTAAGAACTAAGGAGGATGACTTCAACCATGTAATGGAACGTTTCTTACCCTACCACTATGACTCCTACTTTGCTACTCAAATAAAATTTTATGTTTTTTAGGTAAGTTAAATTTCATTTTTAAAACATTTTTGTTGTTATTGGAACTTCTTAGTTGATTTGTAGACACATCATCCATCGTGTCTAAACATGATAGTGAGCT